CAGACATCAGGGTTGGATAAAGTCAAGTTTCAAGTCAAGTCCCAGATGAAGGACAACAAGTCCCAAATCAAAATCAGCTGGTCCCAAGTTGAGTCCCAAATCAGGTCAAAAGTCAAGGCTAATAAGTTCTAAATCGTGTACTGAGTAATAATCAAGAGGTCAAGGCCAACAAGTCCTGAATGAAGTGAAGTCCCAGGTCAAGGCAAACTATTCAACCCAAGGCCAACAATTCTTGAGTGGAATTGTTTCCCCCAAGTCCCTCAAGTCCCAATTAATAACCAACAAGTCTCAAGTCAAGTTAAAAGTGAAGGCCTCCAAGATTAAAATCAAGTTCTGAGTAATAACCAACAAGTCCCAGTTTAAGTCCTAAATCAACTCCCAAATGAAGTCCCAGGTCAAAATGAACAAGTTCCAAATCAAATCCTCAGTAATAATCAACAAGTCAAGACTAAAAAGTGTACTTTTACTACCAATAAATGTATTAATAATAGAGATTGTATTGTTTTAAAACACCTGGTATCAAAAAAGTACTGAAGTATCGACAACCTTAGTTCTAAGTGAAAGTCCCAAATCAGTAGGTAAGTCATAAGCAGTTTCACCAGAAAGCTGCTGTCAGCATGACTATGCATAAAGTAGTGTGAAAAAATTGATAAGATTCTCTATCAGGAAATATTGAGAATTAAGTGAACCTTGTACTGTTAAAGCTACACCATCAATAGCTGCTCCAGTGATATTATCAATATCAAAAAAATAAATAATACAAGGTAGTAGTTCAACTGATACTGTTCATTCTACCTGCCTCTGGTGCTGAGTCATACCTGGTAGTACAGGAGCTGCATGGAGTTCACCTGGAGCTCATGTTGTTTAGCCCCCACCCACTGAAAGAGAGAGACAGACAGGTGGAGAGATTTTAATTTGTGTCCATTTTACAGAAACCACTTTGTTGTTTCATTTGCGTGTATGTGAACGCACCACTTGGTAAAGCGATGTCACCAGAACACCAAGCGTCGCAAACACTGTCCCCAGCAGATTGAATCGCACGTCATAATACGAGTTCAATATCACCCCTAATGTTATTGGCACCTGGAGAGAGAGAGACAGGTAGAACACAACGACCACTTTGGCTCATCACAATGTCATAAATTACAGAAGAATGAGACAATATATTTCCTTCCAACATGAACACGCTAATGACTACCGAGTGTCACATGGCAACTAAAGACACTTTATTGATGAATGGATCATACAAGCAGTATTCTTGGACCATTAGTATTTATATTGATGTTAGACAGAATTTATATATGTTAATGACTTATTTAATTTGATTTAATTTGAAAATATTCGAATGTATGCAGATGATACATCTTTTATCTTTATATTGATGTCCATTAACATGCTCTGTCCCAATCAAATAAACAAATGAAATAAATAAAATGATTACAGTGTTGGTCAACTGACAATTTAGGTATACAACAATATATCCATTAAATTTGGGTTTAATTACAATGAGGAACTTTGGCTTTTCCAGGCACTTTCTTATTATGAAGCGTATAAAAAAAAAAAAACATGATACTTGCGTCAGGTTTGGTTTGGGCAGCAGAACTCTAAAAGACTGTGGTCACAGCTTTAGCCAGTTACTACATCCAGATTACTGTAACGAGGAGATCACATAAATTTCCCTCACCAGTGTCAGTTTAATCTTGGTGGAGAATGTCTTCTTGTAGTAGGTGGTCTGGATGAGGATGATGACGGGTGTGGTCATGGCTTTAGCCAGCTGGTACGTTCCTATTGAGTTGTTCTGCAGGGAGAGGTTGGTGAAGGCCACAAACCCACAGAAGCTCAGAGCCAGCCACACAATCCTGCGAATTGGGAGGCTTTTTGGAGCAAAAATGTCCATTTTCTGGCAGACGTAGAGTCCCAGCCAGGTGACCACAAAGTGAACGAGGGTCAGGGTCATGTTGGGGAAGCCATAATGTACATAGATCCACTTGTTGATGAAGACAATGCAGATGGAGGACAGCAGGTTGACCAGCAGGCCGGTGACAATGCGCCTGTTGGCCGATATACCAAACAGCATCATGGTTCTGGAAGTTTCCTAGTTTAGCCTACCTTAGCTTCGTTTAAGTGTTTACGCTATAAAAACAGAAAAAGTGAATGTTAGAAAGTCGAAAACATTAATACTCTAACATGACAAATCTTACATTATGTTAAATTAACAGTAGCTTTATGTAATAGCTGTAGTGCCCAAGTATGCAAGCAT